CGCACGTGCGTCTGCTGCTTTAAATTCTCGAGCTCGTTATAGCAGGATGGATTCTGATTGGCTGTCAATGTTTGTATCATTCATCAGCTGGAAAAAATTATTCTGAAAATGATTCCAACGATATCGTTTCTCTGTGCCTTTATTGTTATAGTTGTTGTGTGGACTCTGCTATTCTTTGAGAACGATTTTTAGACCTATATCTTTATCGTTATCTTTATAGTTATCGTGCTTGGTGTGAACGGGCCTTTACTCATACACACAGTAACTGTTAAAGTCATTTTTCATTTCAGGTGTTACTCTGTGGGATAAGAAATCACTTAGTAAAGATTTGGACAGTCATCCACAGCCCCTGACAGACGTGAAGTTCAGTAGCTCTGACTCTCTCTCTAGTAAGGCCAGTCTCCTGGATGTAAGTGCTTCCCTAAAAGCCAGTTTCTTGGGGGGGCTGGTGAATGTGGATGGATCTGCCAATTACCTGCATGACACCAAATCCTCAAACCAGCAGTCCAGAGTTACAATGTTTTACAGTGAAACCACAAGATTCAAACAGCTCACTATGTCCCAGCTGGGCAAGATCACCTATCCTCAGGTTTTTGACCAGAAAACTGCAACTCATGTGGTTGTTGCTGTGCTGTATGGAGCTCAAGCATTCATGGTGTTTGATCGGACATTTTTAGAAGAGGAAAACAAGCAGGAGATTGAGGGAAAACTGAGTGTCATGGTCAGGAAGATTTCTGGATTTTCCATTGAGGGAGAGGGATCTGTAAATATGACAGATGCTGAAAAGGAAATGGCTGAGAAGATCACCTGCACATTTCATGGTGATGTCCGCCTTGAACAGAACCCCACCACATACACGGAGGCCATACAGACATACAAGAAGCTCCCCACTCTGCTGAGAGAGAATCCAAATAATGTGGTTCCAATAAAAGTCTGGCTCCTTCCTCTTTATCTACTGGACAATAAAGCAGCTCAGCTGGAGAGACAAATCAGTACAAGTCTGGTTTCCAACACTGAAGATATAATTGAGGTGCTAGGAGAGACAGGGAGGACATGTAATGACCTGCTCAAAAGTACACTGGTCAATGCTTTCAGAGACATTAAAGAGAGTCTGCACTCATTTCAGGACTCGTTTAGCATTTATAAGGCAAAGCTCCTGGATGCAGTCGGCAGGGTCTTGCCTGCTGTTCGAGGAGGAGAGATGAAGGAGAAGTCTCTGGAAGACATATTGAAGATCCACAGGAACTCCCCATTTAATGATGACATTGTGAACAAGTGGCTAAATTATGCAAAGTCTGAACTTCAAATCTTGAGTTCTTACATCAATAAGTTACAAAGGATCACAATTGAAGACTCAGTCAGTCTTAGGACCATTTTATTTGATCCTGATGTTGATGCAGTGGTGTGCTTGACCTTCACATCTCTGATGTATAAAGATCCATATCTTTCAACCTTGAAGGAGTTCTTGAAATCTGAAAGGTTTAAAGAGCTAGATGGGAGTAACAATTTGTTTTCTGTGAAATCTGTCAGAAAATGGTTCAGTAATCCCAATATCATAATAAAGATGAGAGAGAACTTATCTAATTTCAGGAGTTTTTCAGAAGCCAATAAAGATGAAAAGAGAATCCGCTTCATTATTTCTGCCATCTCCAATCCCTCCATTGCAGGCTCCTCCATCTATCTATATGAACACGGGAAACTGACAGAAACACAGTTCAAGCCCGTGTCCAAGCCACCCCCACCAACAGTGAAGAATGCCCTGGTCCAAGCTGTGTCCCTGAAACTGCACATGTCTTCATCTAATGAGACAGTGCAGTACAGAGTGGAATACAAGAAAGCAAAACCCGATTCTGGAGCTGAGGAACAGTGGCTTTTTATAGACACAGCTAATGAAGACTTCACTCTGACTGGATTGGAGTCTGAAAAGCATTACTTGATCCGCTGCAGGAGAGTTGATAAAGTGGGAGTGAGTGAAGCCAGTGATGCTGTCAGTACTTACCCTTTCGGTAAGTGTGATCTGCTGTGACTCTCATTTGCACATCAGATTATATTTAGAGCTGCCAATATATTAATGCATATTTGACTTTTAGGAATATTAGGTACCTGGTTGGTTGTGTATAGTAATGACCGACAAAAGCATAACCCAGATGATGTCACTCACCTGTAGATCATAAGCGTTTGCATCCAATATCCCTTGTCAAAAAAAATCCTAAAGGATTCCAATAAGAAAATTGTTCCAATTAGAATTCCTATAATAATTCAGAAGAATTCCAATGAGATTCTTATAAAACTTGAGATTCCTGAGATTTTCTTTTAATTCTTTTTTTATTTTGGTTTTAGAAAATGAACATGATTGCTCTCTTCACAAATCAACTATGTCATATAATTAAGCCCAAAGTATATTTTGGTTTTTACATGTACACTTAGCTAATACACATAGCCGAATACATACACTTTCAAATAACACTTTTTGATAACACAGGGGGTCGACACATGCTCTATAAAGTTTCATATTTGTCCAGTGTCTGTATTATTCTTCAGACGTTATGTCTTTGTATTCTTTTAAACTAAAGTTGTGGGTATCTCATAACCCCCTCACACAAGCACTTGTCAGTGCAGGTGTCTGTTGTTGTTGCTGTCTCCACAATTTTGTTGTTGTTCCTTCTCTTTAGTTTTGTTTTCTATGGCCCATACAAGTGCTGCCACCTTATGAGATGGTGTGGCATACTCTGAGGGACTACATTTGGAAGAAGGATAAACTGACAATAATACATTCTGGATTGAGGAACTGAAAGAAGCATCATGTAACAATTATTATTATTTAAAAAGTCTTCCAGTTGTGGTTGAGCCACAAAGTCATAGCACCACCAACTGGTAGTATAAAGTGTGTCACTTACAGGTTGATTGCTAGACATATGTAAAAGTTCAAAAATACCTTTGTGCATTGTTTTCCTAGAGCTCCCGAGTAGCGGTGACCCTTGGGCTCATCAGTGATGCTTACAGCTATGTTTTTTTATTTGTACATGTAACATCTTAACCCCCCACATAAAGTCAAAAGGCCCCACAAAATGCATTGTCTCGACATCAGTGCCAGTCCGTAGGGTTGTGGGGCCCTTGGCAAGATAATGAAAATGGGCCCACTAGTGTAAAAACTGTCATAGCAACTTGACGAGTGAAGAGAAAGCACATAAAATGACAATTTCAATATTTAAGGGTAAATGTGTATTAAGTGTAATACATTCAACATACATATGTAAAAATATTTAAACAGATAAGAAAAAAAAAAGTGAGTGCAAGTGAGTTTGAGTAAATAATATATATACATATATATATATTTTGTTACGGGGCTGACGAGATATGAGACGTGCGGATCCAAATGCAAGGCTTTATTCATAGACATGGTTAGAGACAGGCAAGGGTCAGATAATGGCAACGGGTATATAGAGGGCAAGACACAAGAATATTCCTAGGACTATTGTGGGTCTACGATCGGCGAAAAGAATTAACAGGGCGAGACTAGAGGGGTAAATCCAAGTACAATACAAAGGTCCAGGCAGGGGCAAACGGTATTTGAATACAGCAAGACGAGAGGGGGAATCCGAGGTACACAGGCAAAGATTAGGATACAAGAAAACAGACAAGGCAAGACTAAGGTAAGGCTATGAAAACTAACGGGCTCCGTAGAGTAGCTATCGCTAGGTGAGTGATATATGCTAAATAATACTCACCAGTGGGAAGGGATCAGAGTGAGTGTTATATAGGGAATGTGTGATTGATTACAGCTGTGTGCAATCAACTGTGTGTGTGTGTAATCAGTGCAGTGGATGATGGGAACTGTAGTCCGGGTGAAGTGCAACAGTGGTGTGGTGTAAGAGTCCATAGTAGTGGAAGAGCGACCTCTGGTGGCGAGCAGACGGAAGTTCATGGACCAGATTCGTAACATACAGGTGCATCTCAATAAATTAGAATGTCATGGAAAATCTCAACAAATTAGAATACTTAATAAGACCAATAAAAAAAACATTTTTAGTGAATTGTTGGCCTTCTGGAAAGTATGTTCATTTACTGTACATGTACTCAATACTTGGTAGGGGCTCTTTTTGCTTTAATTACTGCCTCAATTCGGCATGGCATGGAGGTGATCAGTTTGTGGCACTGCTGAGGTGGTATGGAAGCCCAGGTTTATTTGACAGTGGCCTTCAGCTCATCTGCATTTTTTGGTCTCTTGTTTCTCATTTTCCTCTTGACAATACCCCATAGATTCTCTATGGGGTTCAGGTCTGGTGATTTTGCTGGCCAGTCAAGCACACCAACACCATGGTAATTTAACCAACTTTTGGTGCTTTTGGCAGTGTGGACAGGTGCCAAATCCTGCTGGAAAATGAAAAATCAACATCTTCAAAAAGATGGTCAGCAGAAGGAAGCATGAAGTGCTCCAAAAGTTCTTGGTAAACGGGTGCAGTGACGTTGGTTTTCAAAAAACACAACACCAGCAGATGACATTGCACCCAAATCATCACAGACTGTGGAAACTTAACACTGGACTTCAAACAACTTGGGCTATGAGCTTCTCCACCCTTCCTCCAGACTCTAAAGGCAAAACTTGCTCTCATCTGAAAAGAGGACTTTGGACCACTGGGCAACAGTCCAGTTCTTCTTCTCCTTAGCCCAGGTAAGACGCCTCTGACGTTGTCTGTGGTTCAGGAGTGGCTTAACAAGAGGAATACGACAACTGTAGCCAAATTCCTTGACACGTCTGTGTGTGGTGGCTCTTGATGCCTTGACCCCAGCCTCAGTCCATTCCTTGTGAAGTTCACTCAAATTCTTGAATCGATTTTGCTTGACAATCCTCATAAGGCTGCAGTTCTCTCGGTTGGTTGTGCATCTTTTTCTTCCACACTTTTTCCTTCCACTCAACTTTCTGTTAACATGCTTGGATACAGCACTCTGTGAACAGCCAGCTTCTTTGGCAATGAATGTTTGTGGCTTACCCTCCTTGTGAAGGGTGTCAATGATTGTCTTCTGGACAACTGTCAGATCAGCAGTCTTCCCCATGATTGTGTAGCCTAGTGAACCAAACTGAGAGACCATTTTGAAGGCTCAGGAAACCTTTGCAGGTGTTTTGAGTTGATTAGCTGATTGGCATGTCACCATATTCTAATTAGTTGAGATAGTGAATTGGTGGGTTTTGTTAAATGTGAGCCAAAATCATCACAATTAAAAGAACCAAAGACTTAAACTACTTCAGTCTGTGTGCATTGAATTTATTTAATACACAAATTTCACAATTTGAGTTGAATTACTGAAATAAATGAACTTTTTCACGACGTTCTAATTCATTGAGATGCACCTGTATTTTACAGGAAACTGCAGTGTGACCTGTTAACATGCAGGATGACTATAACTATTAATGTTTAAAAAAGGTCCCCTAATGTTTAGAAAATACTCCTCTACACTGGAGAAAAGCGTAGAGAGAAATCAGTGCCGGCACTTCTAGGTGTTGTAAGGGAAACAGGTCAATTTAGCTCAAAGGGAATCATTTAAGATTTTAAAGGGAATTTGGACAGAATCACTGTTTTACGGCTGATCACTGAGACGGCCAGCGATTCATTGAACGAGCCATATGACATCAATTCTGCAATGGATATTTATATCCAAAATATAGTGAAAACACTATTAAATAGCACAGTAACAAGATCGGCAGTTTAAGAAATTAACTTGTAAGCACAAAACACAAGATACTTCTCTTTTCAATATAAATAAGGCTTTATTGGATAAATCTAAGACATATAAACTAATCTAACACATAAACACACGCATTCACACAAGTTGCAGAAAGAGAGAAAGTGAGGAAATAATTAGTTTAAGAGAATGAAAATGTGAAATCCCAAGTTTACAGCAATATGTGCAATTGCATAGATCTGAACAACCATCAATCACTTAATTAACCCTCGCATTGAGTTCCTCAATGAGGTTAAAATTTATATTAAATGCACCAGTTCAGATAGAATCTGGAGGTACTTGCGTTGCGTTGCCTGGGTGCGGGGGTTCCCTTTGTTGTGGTCCTTGCAGAAGGGGGTTTCCCGCTTTTCTGATTGGCTGGAAGTCAGTCTTGGGAGCCAGTGGTTTGGCGTTGGCTGATGACGCGGAGCTGTGGTCTGAAGTTGAAGTTTAGACGGAACTCTTTCGGAGACACGGCAAACTTAACTCGGAACACACGAAACTCTCAACGGAAAATAAAATAAACTAAAGTAAAGAAATAGAAGTAAAGTTTGACGAGACTAGGTGGCGTTTCTCCTCATGGTTTTGAAGGAGCTGTCGTGTAAGCCAGAGCACGCTGAAAAAGCTGGAAGCATGATTTAAAGTCCTTTTAGTGTCATTTAGGTGCATGGAAAGGCAGTTTCTGTGCCATTCTGTGGATGAGGACATGTTCTGTGAAGACCAGAGGTTTTTAGACCAAGGAATTTCAGTCTGTTCTTTGTCGTCGATGACAATCTCCTTGGAATTGTCAATAAGTGTTATTTTGTTTAAATGCCGTGAGCTACTCAAAGCTGCTAGCTGCTTGTGGGCGCCAGGATCTGATTTACGAACATCCTGTGTCTTGGGCCTTTCTGTGGAATTCGGCT